ATATTATGATCAATAAGCACCAGCACTGGATGTGATAAGCACCAACACTGCATATTATAATCAATATGACCAGCATTGGATCTTTTTATTTTATTTTTTATTTTAAATTATATATATTAAAATAATCGGATAAACGGGTACCTGTTTATAACCGCTGTTAATATTCATACTTGCTATTTAAATTTCACGGGTAAATGGTTATATCCATAACCATTTAATTATCTAAACGAGTATCCATAATCATAACCGTAAATTTTAAATAATCAGGTAACCGTGGTTACCCATAACCGATGAATATTTACAGAAAAATTACTATACCATAATCACAAGTGACAACAAACATCATTTCTTAACATTGCATATTTTTATTATTATTTATAATCATTAAATTAAATAAATTAAATAAAATCAACGACCAAATTAAGTAGCAAATAAGGGAATAAAAAAGAGTGAAAATTTTAGTCGTTTCGGAAGGGGAAAAGAGTCACCTCGTCTGCCTTGGTTCCAGTCTCACTTTACCATTTCTCACTAGTCGTCGTCTTCTCCACCTGCTTCCGCCACTGAAATTCAAAACCCAGAACCACATCATCACCATGGCCACTCCTCCCGCCGTAATTCCCGATGTGACCATGACCCAAATTGAAGAAGAAGAAGAAGAAGCCCCTCAACAAGATAACCCTAATTCCGAACCACCACAGTCCCAATCCAAAACCCTAACCCTAGAACCCCATCAAGACCAAGAAATTCAACTAAACCCATCTCTTCAATCGGAGCCAAACCCTAAACCCAAATCGGATGACATTCCCGCCCGATCTCCTCGCGGCACCACTACTACCACTACCACCACCATTACCTTCTTCCGCCGTGGAACGAATCGAAATAAGTCCGGTTCAAAGCGAAAAGCCGCCAGTTCGGGGAACAGAAAGGCCCAGCAGAAGGCCCAGCAGAAGCTTCAGACCCAGAGAGAAACCCTAAATCCAATTCCATTCGTGCCCTCAAAACATCTCGACTTTGAGAAGCACGAGAAGCTCCTGAAGTGGCTCAACTTGTGGGACTTCGTCCACATCGAGTTCGATCGGAATCTTCGGGTTGATCTTCTCGCCCAGTTGATTTCCAATTTCAACCCTAACCTGCGGGGCAGCTACGTCAACGGGTCCAAGGTTATGGTCAACCGGGCCGACTTGGCACGGGCCTTGAAGCTTCCTTCAAAACAGGTGAAGAAGGGTGGTGCTGTGGCACTACCGGATGGTGCTGAGGAGCCTCCGGCGGAGGCTGCTTCGGAGGAGTCCATAGCTTTTATAGAAGAGTTGGTATCAAATTGGGTGCTTTTGCACGAGGATACGTGGATGATGCCAAGCGAGGTATTGAATTGGACTAAGGCAATCAAAGAGGGGCAGTTTGTAAAGGTGGATTGGGCCGGTTTGATTTGGTTCATGGTGGAGAAGGAGTTGGTTCAGGCGCCCAAATTGGGGGATTGCTACTATGCATCGCATTTGCAGTGTTTGATAAAATCGCAGCGTGAGGATTTCTTTATGGTGAAAGAACAAGAGACTCCCCTGGTTGATGTTGATGCAGTTGATGTCGATGCTGTTGATGTCGATGCAGTTGATGTCGATGCAAAAGAGGAAGAAGAGGAAGAGGATGGTGGCACGGATGTGAAAATGGTCGGGGAGGATGATTTACAGGGACCCAGCGGATTGGAAGAACATAACATTGAATTATGTCTTGGCCAAGATAATGTGGATACGGATGATCTTAAGCAAGAGCAAGACAATGTGGAGAAAACTGATGTTAGGCAAGAGCTAGACATTGTGGATGTAGCTGATGTTAGGCAGGACAATGTGGATAGAACTGATGTTGGGCAAGAAAACCTTGAGAAAGCTGGTGTTGAGAAGGAGCAAGTTGGGGTTGAGGATGTAATGGGTTTTGAAGAATGTAAGGTGGAAGAGCCTGGCCATTGGCTTTTGGATGGGAAGAGCAGTGCAAATGAACCTTTTTTGCAGCGGTGTAATCTTGGTGTAGTTAATTTGAGTTGTGGGGAGGAGGGGAAAAAAGATATGGAGTTTGTTGAAAGAATAGATGAAGGAAACGAAGAGGAAGAGGAAGAAGAAGAGGACGAGGACGAGGAGGAGCAGGAGGAGGGAGGTTTTCACCTTTCACTTAAGGATATGCCTTTAGAGGGCTTTCATGCAATGGAAGCAGCACATAACCCTCTTAGTTCAGATATGTCAATGCGTGATCAATTTGCTGGGGAGTTTCTTTCTTCAAGGGACGATAGTCGAATGCTTCCTGGTAGTTCCTCATTCTTTGGAAATGGTGGTCTTAAGAGAGAGTTTGTCCATGAAAATGCTAACTCTTCTCATCATCCTCTCAATGGTAATAAGCGGTTGAGGATGGGTGGCCCTTGGGATGGTAAGGTCTCCGGTGGTGAATTTGATACATGTTTGGAGCAAGTGCAGCACTGGATAGAAAAGGCTAAGATGGTGTATGCGGAGAAAGAACAAGTTTGCGAGCAATCGATGGTTGGCCAGCAGATGTTACTGGACGAGTTGCACCAAAGGGAGGAGGTGATTGGTCACTTGCAGAAGGCCAAGGCTGAAGAGCAGCAGAAAAGCAAAATGGAGATGTATCGGCTTGAGCATGAACTCTATGTAATGGGAAATCTCTTGGATGGCTATAGGAAGGCTTTAAAGGAAACACAAAAAGCATTTGCTGAATATAGAGCACGTTGTCCGCAAGCTGATGAGCCACTCTACAGGGATGTTCCTGGGTCAGGTGGTCTTGTTTTGAGCACCATGGAACTGGAAAAGCAACGCCTAAAGAAAGAAGAAGAGGAAAGGATGACCCGTCTGCTGCTTGAAAAACAGATTAAGGACTTTGAAGCTGGGTGGATTAGTAAATTTGAAGCACACCCCAAGAGTGTTGAATTACTGAGTAACAGGTTGCAAGATGCAGAGTCGGAAGTGAAAGTTCTTATTGAACGGCTTGCAAAACGGAGGATTCCAGAAATACCAGAGTCTGCTCCAAATGAAAATGAATGATGCTTGGTGAGTCATCTGACTGTGCTTCAAATACGCATGTTGTCTTAGTAAGTTATTTGATGCAACTAGTTGTCGTGTTTTGATGCAGTCTCACTTCGTATAATCTGATTAAAAGAGTCAATACCTTAAACGTAAATATCAGGTTGCAGTATTCTTGTTTATTGTCAATTTTTACTTGATTATCAATTGATCATGGTGGCTGTATTGGGAATTATATGTTCATAAATGATTACACTTTCTGTAGTTCCCTTGCAACTGTCTCTCTGTGACGCTATCTATGACCTTTTTGTATTTTGACTCGTTATAAAGTAAAAATATTAGATTGAAACATGGCACAACTCAAACATTACCATTCCTTCTACATGAACACAATCCCTAATGGGGATAAACACCGATGCCTTTAATGCCTCACCTAACTATTTTATGCTGGATAAGGAACTGTTTTAAGATCAGATTAGTTGGTGAAGGTTCAGGGGTTGGGACAAGATGTTGTGGAATGGAAAATTTCTTTACATGGAGAGTTATGGTATTTCAAAGCTCCTCTTTGGGTGGGCTCGTTTTATCTGGATAGTTTCTATTGTTGAACATGTCTGTAGACTGTACTAACTTGATAAATGAAAGGAAGATTTAAGTGATATCTTTTGTCGCATGGTCCGCTTAAAGCACGGGGGTGGTTGTGGCTTTTTCTTCATGTGCTTGGAGATTGAAAATGGTTCTTAGTTTCAGACAGAAAAGATTCATTGATGAATTTTCAATTCTTATGTTCTCATATTGCTTTGGCAGGCGTCAAGTATTTTAATCATCCAAGTGGAAATTATAGGTCTAGCAGTGGTGGTAGCCCTGGCCCTTGACCATTGATGCTGATGATCCCTTTTTGGCATTGAAGTTTCTTATATAATTGTCTCCATAAAAAAAGGTGTCATTATTTGTCGTAATGGGATTTCGGCCAATACATTGGCAGAAAATTAGTGTTAGTAAGCAAGAAACTGCACTGAGTAATGATAAAAGCTTAGTTTTATAGATCGTGGTTTAGATTGTGGTTGATGTCAATGTAAAGTCATGACTTTATTTTCATGTTCGAGTTCTGTAACAAGATTTTGAGGAAGCTCTTAATTAATATTTAATTCGTGAATATCTGGTTAGTTTTTAATCATTTTATCACATGATGAATTTTTATGCAGGTTAGAGTTCTGCAAACGTATGCCAGAAAGCTTGGTGCAACGTTGGATGGGATGGGGAGGCAATATACAAGGAAGATCAGTGTTTTTTGCAGTGTTTGTGGCTGACAGCAGCCTCTTACTTAACTGGAAGTCAGTCGGCTTTGTGCTGTAGGTCATATACTAGTTCGAACTGTATCCATAGTGTACATATATTTGAAGCTTTTGCACATCAGGATATGCTTCTCAGTGCTAATGAATGATAAACAAGCTGCTTAACTTATCTTCGTTTCCACATCATTTGTCTAAGATGGCTTGTATTTATAATCCGGCGTTGAACCAGTTTGATCTGCTGGACTGATGCCTTATAAACCGCGAATACCTGTTTGAAAGTGAACAGGATTTGCGGATAAAAGCTCTTGCATACAAGGGCTCCCGCAGTAGAATTTGTGCATAAACCGCTGACCGATCCCTTCATGTTTTGCGGATAACATTCCCTCAAAAGTATCTGAGAACATAGAGATAATCTTCTTGACTGCGGTCGCTGCACTGCATCAGCCTTTCTCTGCATGTGAGTCCCCTGCAAACGCTCTTATCAGTGAGAGGCTGATGCAGCGGCTGCTCACATAATTTCATCATAGAAGATCCAACGTCACTTGTTGAATCAGAGCGAAACTCTATACTATCGGTAAATTGAAGTCGCAACCCCAGCAATGGAGAATATCAGAAATTATGTTGAGCAAATCGGAAAGAAATGCAGAGTATAGGTAAGTAAAGAAGATAGGGAGGTAAAATAGGGGGGTTGATCTAGAAAACATACATCTATTCAAATAGTGGGAAAAGATACTTCGATAATAAATAAAAATTCAGAGCATAAATGGAGCTCTGCAACAGAAATTCTTTGGCTACAATGTCTAGAAAGCACAAGACACTTCTACGATCGCCCCATTTACAAACCTCAGCTAAAACTGGTGTGTTGAATCAGAATTTCATCGAAGAAACTGCTTGAACCCCATGCGATAACTCTGTTAGCGACAATCTCAAGCAGCCAGGTCGCAAGGATCAAAGTTGGCTCGACTTTCATGCTGCTCCACTACACCATCCGGGCAAGGAGGAAGAGATTTACATGCACTTGTTTCAGTCGCTTAACACTATTTGGAACCGGGCCCAAAAGAAGAGTTGTTCTCAAAGCCCCCTGGGACAAACACAGGAAGCTGGTTTGAGGTAGAATCACGTTTGAACCTGGATTCCCTAGGCAAGTTCAGCCCTGCCCTCTCTTGGCCCTCTCTAGAACCCGAATCCCTTTCATTTCTTAAGTTATCCCTAACTGGTGCACTCAAAAGCGGGCCACCAAAGAATATAGAATCCCCTGTGTACAGCAGTTTCTCCGCTTGTTGTGCTGGAGGCTTCGCTGCAGAAGATGAAGCCTCCTGTGGCGGAATAACTGGTCTTCTACTATAGCTTGCTTCTGCATTAGGATTTGGAAATCCTGTTTGTATGGATGTCCTGTTTCGAGCGTCAGAAGCCGATACAGGAACCGAGACATATCGCCCTGCTTCTTGGTCCCAAACAACAGATGTTCTTCGGACATCCCTGAAAAGAGAAGCAGGTGGAGCTGAAAGCAGCATCGAATCAGTAGTACTTCCCCTCTGCATAATTGGAGCGGAAAGTTGTAATGGATCGGCTGTACTTCCCCTCTGCATGATCCTTTCATCAAATCCCATGCTGACATTAGGCAATGTTGCCTTGGCAGTTAATGGACGGTCAGGAACTAAGCTGGGCACTGAAGTGGCAGAGCTAAAACGTCCCACACCCGGAGCCTGTGGCAGAGGGCTAAGTGTGACCACTTCATGAGCATGGCTCGGACTACTGAAGCTACTTATGCTTTGAGTCCCTGTTTCATACTCATCTCGGCTACCTTGACTTGGAGCATAGGAATTTCTTGACAACCTCAGATCATTCTTCATCTCTTTATTTGCCCCCGTATCAGTGCTTACACTACTCCGCACACTCATATTGCCGCTTGAGCTAAGTTCAACATCAGGTTTATCCAGTGGTCGTAGAACGGAGGATGATGCCCTGGCCTTGGCTGCTGCTCTCATAGCCTCACTGGAATCCAACTTTGCAAGCTTCCAAGCACTAATGCGGACAGGCCTTTTAGGACCTTTTTGCTCTCTTTCTGTAGCTCCAGCTGCGTCCGGATCAATAGTTGATGGCACCATTCCGGGCTCCAAATGCGGTACAACTTCCTCCTAATGTAGCAAAGCTTGTGTCAAGTGTAAAACATGTATAAAGTTTTTCTTCTTGCATAGTAAACTTGAAAATTAAAAAATAAAAATATCAAGCTGAAGACTGGAAACGTAGTTGTGGGTCAATGCTGCGAAGCCATTCTTACAAGAAATTTTTGAAAAAGAATTGTTCCTTACAAGATTTGAAGGGCTAGATAATGTCACAACGGTAAGACATTTTTGAAAAAGAATTGTTCCTTACAAGATAAATGAAAATCGTTAATTGTACTATTTAAGCCATCATTTGGATCCAGATAATAAATCCTTATACTTGAAATATGGACATGAATATGAACTTGTTTTATACTGCACTTGCTTAAGTTCACACAAGGGCCCTTGTTAGATCACGACTACATTAATATAGAGAAATAGAAAGAAGGTTACAAAGGAGAGAAGACCAAAGTTTCGGAATTACAAAAATCCATGTGAAGAACCCTATAAAAAAAATGTTGACGAGAACACAGCACGATCAAACCTCAAACTGTAATGACCTAGGCAAGTTACAAAAGGCATCACGGATTTAAGTTACAGCCCAAATTTTCTTGGTAAGGTGAGAATAAAAAGTGTCGCCAAAATAATTTCACTTCAAAATGAGAATGAGAGAAATTTAACCAATCGACAAAGCTCCAGAATAAAGGTAGTACACATTATAATGCAGGCCAAAGAGTTTGAAGCCTAAAATGAGTTCAATTGAACAGCGGAAGCCTAAAATGAGTTCAATTGAACAGCGGTTCAAATCGATTTCTTCCAAAAAATGTAAAACCAAGACATAAAGTGAATACTAATGTACCTGATAATCCACAAATACTCTGGGAGGGGTACACCATGCACCCTTGTATTGCAGACCTAAAGAACTTCCTCCGCTCAAGCCAGTTGTAGCTGATCCTGTTGGGGAGTGCATGTAATTTTGGAAACCCTCATCGACAGATGCTCCTCCAGGTGCCTCACTCATTGCTCTCATCGCCACGACATATTCATAGGTTGTAATACCCTAATTCAAATTTCAAATTTTCAAAATAAGATTATTTCACTTGAATTGCAACAAAAATTGCATCTCTTATCAGATAATTGTCTTCTCTCATTTTCTGCCTATAAGTGGCCTGGTACCCCAAGCATTACAGCCTAATATTTAGCTACATAGTTCTAAAGTAAAAACATATATCCCTTAAGACCCGCTATAGCTAACTTTAGCATCACGAAAAATGAATTCAATGACTAAAGCACTGACCTTCCTAATAAGTATCATGTGGAAGAAGAAGAGTTCACAAAGTGGAACACATGCCAGCATAGAAACTGCAGTACATAAAGCCTACACAAATGAGAACCAATGTTAACAGAGGCTTTCTTCTGCAATTGATATCCGAGAGAGATTAGGATGCTAACTTTAGTTAAAGCATTTAAAAATACTATATGTACCACAACTGTTGCAAATGGGGGACGAGTGAAACCATTTCCAAGTCTATCAATAATTTCTGCCTCCATGCTTGTCTTATTAACAAAGCAGCGCACCATGACAGTAATACCAACTCCAGCTTCAATAACAAGCTGAACCGAAACGGGGGGAGACAGAGAGCATCTTAGTACCAAAAATTTAAAAATGCACATAATAATTATCAGACTGCAATACCTACCCAAAGAAGACTGGTGGCCATCAAACATATAAAACTCAGGTAATTTTTGTGTCCAACACAATTGTTAAGCCACTGCAGCCATGTAATATATTGAGGTTACTTAAGAGAGGAATTTAAAAAATGTCAACCAAAAACAAGTTGCAGAAGATCTGCCCTTATGGAGTACTTGAAGCAACAAGAAAAATACCCGACAGTGGTGATCAAATCCATCCACGCATTTATCACAACTTCTACAGTGTTTGCTGAACTTGCGGACCTGCAACATGAAAAGTAATCATGGGTGAAAAAAAAGAAAAAATTTTAGGAGTATGTATCTTTATAAAGAAACACATGAGAAACTAAAAATACTAGAACTGATGTATCTTTAAATTGAGGAATTATGATACAACGTTTGTAATAATGCAATACCTCAGCATTGCACAATGTGCAGAACAAAGCATCTTCACCACCCTGATTCTCAGCTGCCCCTTCCTGTGGTTTGCGGCAATCTTCGTGTACAAACAATGCACAGCAAATTCCTCCAATGCAACTCCCAGTTGTCGGTTCTTCCGGAATATTTACACCCCCAAGTTCTCCTACTGACCCTTTCCTACTAGAGTTAGCACCTGCCAAAGAACTTCTGGAAACCGATGACGGAGAAGAATGGCCTGTGGTGGCTTCATCAAACTTTCTAGGCAAGTCTTTTGCTGATAACCTATGATTTGGATTGATACCATTTCTTCCTCCGTTTCCAAACTTGGACATAATTCCAGGATCTGCAGGGTTTATTGCAGTACATCGAACATAAAGAATGAAGACGAGCAGTGCCTGCAATGCCATAGAAAGATTATGGGAATAACATCAAGCATAAAAGGCCATTTCTATATAGAAGAAATTAAATGAGTTGTGATTCTGAATGAATGGTTCGAGAATTGGGCTAAAAGCTAGCACATTACATAATGTGACTGCCTGACCGGCATAGAGAATCAATTTGGAAGTAACTCGAAACTCTTCTACAAACTCTATCTAGTTTGGCCCACCAGATTAATTATCTTTGAAAGTAATCAAATTTGCGCCACATATTCGAAAACCTTATAAAGAATGAGCTCTCGTCTCAAATTTCAACATCTAGAATAAGAATGATGAAACTTCTCAGAAGCCGATAGGATTCAATCCCATAATACTCAGAGCCGGGACTGAAGGCCAGCTTTTGATTAGTACATCATAAAGTGGATCAGATCATGGATTATATTTCAGATATACTTATCTATAAAGACAATGCAAGCGTACAAGCTAATGAAACTATTAATAAAACGAAAATGCTTAATGTGGCTAAATAAAAATCATTTCATATACCACTGGAGAGTAACCGCCAATCAAAACATATTCCCAGATGCGGCCTCCGACGAAGGGAGCAAAGAAAGCATAGAAGGCAACCACTAACAAGCAGAACACAGTAATAGCGACAACCTGCCACGTAAACAACACACTTTAGTTTATAATTCGATAAACAAATCGATGAGAAAGCAAGAGAAATCAAACAACAAAAATGTAATCCAGTGTCCAGAAAATGAGAAAATCAAACATAAACTTAAGCATTTGAGCTTTTCCTTATGTTTTCACTAAGTTGGGAACCTAACAGTAAAATTTCATCCCAATAGTCCTAACCACAAAGTAAAACCGTACCTCTGGGACCTAACTAACAGTTAAAGCAATATTGTCAACCAAAAAAGATTTGAACTTTTACACAAATTGACAAATCAAAACCCACATTCAGAACAGAGATCAGATTTCTATTTTCACGACAAGGCGATATTCTGAACTACTCTGATTCACAGGGAGGGCGGAGACACAGCCCCGGCCAACCGACCTAACTCGTATGGAGAACCGGGATCAGATGAAGTTCCGCCTTTCTGGGCAAACCCCACATCAGCAAGTGGTTTAAGCAGAAATGTAAATACCTGGAAGGTGTGAGCAGGCAGTTGCCATCCATGTTTTCTCACCATAACTGCCTAATTCAGAGAAAACCCACCAAAACCCTAGCTACCACTCCCAAACCAGAGAGTGGAGGAGGACTAGAAACACAAGAAAAATGAGAGTGAGAGAGAGAGAGAGAGAGAGAGAGAGAGAGAGAGAGTTTCCTCTCTATAACCCAAAACCCAAAATTAAAATACAATTTTGGGGAACCCCAAAAGGAAAAAAAGAAAACTTGGTCTCCTCTCAAACAGCCATAGGCCACAGATAATGCAAATGTTTACCAAAACACAAAAGAAAAAAAAGTAGAAATTATATAAACAGAAATGGAAAAAGAAAAGCCAGTTGTGGAAATGGAAGGAGAAGGAGGAGGAGTTTCTGTTGAAATCTGGGTCAAACGAAGAGTGAGAAAGGGAGTAGAAATTGGAATTTGCTGCTGAGGAATTAGCAGAGAAAAAAGCCAAAAACAAAATTACAGAAAAAAGTGGGCCGTTGACAGATTGAAATACTCAACCAGATTGTGAAAGGTGTAATATTTGTATTGGTAGGTATGCTTTTGGTATAAAAAATATGAGAGATTTTTCAGTGTAATCAGCACACGAGTTAGTACATTATATGTTATTATATAAATGATGAGATTTGTGTGTCAGAAAGTTAATAAATTAAAAAATAAAATTTTCCATCACTTACATAAAAACACGTGGTGAACCAATGTTGTTCCCGTCGCAATTAAAAACTTCTAAAAAAATATGATGTTTTTGTGCGTTATGTATGTGTGGACCCCACCCAAAACATTATTCTCTCTCATCTTTTTGTCTCTCTCCTCAACTTTACTCTTATTTCATGCTTTGTTAGTATCTTGTTGGCATCTTTTACTAGTGATTTTATTTTTTTAATTATCTTTCCATCACTTCAATAAAGCATTAATAAAATATTTCTCAATATTATAAGGAACTTCTTTGATTAGGCTTGGCTTATAATGACACCTTGCATGTGAATAACTTTCACAAATGTAAAATCAGAAGGCGTAAAATTAAAAATAATAATCAAACGTCATTTTTTTTGTACACATTTTTTTTAATTTTTTATAAGCCTCAGATTGAATAAATAAAACAAAAGATAATGCTAAAAAGGGTAGGTTAGAAGTGGGATTCATTGACACCTTATATTTTTTTTTTTGTAAATATTAGCACGAAAATTAACATTAAATTAGGAGGTAACAATCATAAAGAGTCTTATTTCGAGAGAGTCTCCTTGACATTTCTTATAAAAATATCTTAAAATTGGGTTCTTCTCAAACTTTTGTTGTAAGATTCTCTCACATTCTATTCTCCTTCTCTCACACTCTATTCTCCTTCTCTCACACTTTCTATTTTGTCTTTCTATCTCTAAAAAGTAAAAAGTCAATATAAAATATTGACCTAGCTTAATCGTAATCATTCAAATAAGAAGAATCAATATAAAATATTGATATGACTTAATCGTAATCATTCAAATAAGAATAAGTTTAATCGTAATAATTCAAATAATAAGAAATGAAACAAAAGAAGAAGAAGAAAAAAAAGAAAAAAAAAAAGAAGGAGAATACCGTACTCCGCTCAATTATATTCCTGGATTTGTAGGCCTCGGACGTTTTGTTCATTTAAGCGCGTTAGGCTAATTAATATTTTTCTTTGTTTAGCTTTTGCTTTGTCCTATAACCCAAATTTATGCGATTTCCTAATGATTACTTTCCCTGCAAATTACATTTGAGTGTTTGAGACAAAATATTGAGAGCGCTTTAGATTACGATGCCAGTCGTCTTATTTTATCAGGATTTATTAAGCAAAATTCTAACATTATGTTTGGATAAAGAATTTTAAATTACTTAGAAATTGTAAAATGACGGAATTTTATGTTTTATAATTTGTGAATATTTTTGTTTGGTTAATCTAAAAGAAGAATACAAAATTGTCATTTTTAAACTCTTAATCATAGAAATTGGGAAATGACACATATTTACATGAAATTTAAACTTGGGAATTTGAGGTCTCAAATTCCAAGTTTTTTGTTCCCACGCTAAAATTCTAAATTTTTATGTTTATGAATCGAAACAAGGAAATTTTTGTATGTCAATTTATAAATTCTAACTTTTATTGAAATTCCAATTTTATTTCTTAGTGTAAACCCAATACATGCATCCCGTTCCCAAATCCCAGAATTATAAACCAACTTGTCTCCCTCCTCGGTCTCCACCGAAGACAAACTCTTATTACAAGTTTCAAGAAAATCTCCACTTTCTCTAAACATGTTTTCTTCTTCATCCAAAAATTTAGTATTATCAATGCAAAAAGCAGCCAACCGCACGGTGAACTCAACTCTATGGAGCTTTTAACATCTTCTACGGTACCTATCTTCTGATGAGTAGCTTACGTAGCATGCATGTATTTTTCGTTGTGATATAAAACCTGATAGAAATTTACGATCGTCGTTGCTTCCGCGAATCATGGATCATCAAAGCATATGCCAAGTATGAGTTTAAGGTGTTGCTCGCGATAACAGGAGCAAAAAATTTAGCTGATATAAAGCTTGCTTGTGCTGCGTTGCTTGCTTATCATTTAAAGGGAGCGTTTAGTGTGTGTGTGTGTGTATGGATAATGGACTGATCAGGTTGGTAAACTTGCAACTATAGCTTTTGATAATTCAGCAAAAACTTCATCTCGTCGGATTCAAATTTATGCTGGTTTACCTTAATTAAATAAATAAATTAAATAGGCCAAATTTTTTGTGTGGTCCATGTGGTGACACGCCACTTTCAATGTGACCCTTGTGGTGAAAAAATTGTTAATTAAACCCTCATGGTGAGCCTTGTTAGCAATTAAGGTCCAAATCCAAACTTCCGTTAGTTCTTCGTTAAATAAACTCATGCGACTATCACATGGATCGGTCAAATACATCATTTCAATTCAAATTACATCCTATTCCATGGACATCTAGTATGACTTAGGTATACACTTGTTCTTTCTGGGTGGGTTATGACATACACTTGTTTTTTTTTTTTTTTTTTGTGAGTTAAAAAGTTGGCATATGATCCTAGTGCACAAAGCAAATTGAAACAAGTGAAAATGAGAGATAATTTACAAGAATAACTTGCAGAATTAAAGACAACGGGGGAAAGGCATTGCAGTATTTATGCATTTAGACGGGTGACAGACATTGCATAATTAAAGAATCAAAGACAATGGGTGAAGGGTATTGCAGAAAATTCAATTTTCACGTCTGCCCTCCACATATGAACTTTAAGAGCGTAAGAAACTTAAATAACTAAAATTCAAAGAAGATTAAGAAAAAAATTGAAAGGTTGTGTACTAGCTGATTACGGCGTGCATCAAACCACAATACCAATTGAAGACAAAATTGAAAGGCATATATGCATTCGGACTGGTACAAATTGATACAAGAATGAAAATTTAAGACAAACTAAGACCTTAACTCATGATCAAAGAAGCGTTGGCATTGAAAAAAACAATGGTTTATTAAAAGTATTATGATTTCCGAACGAAATTAAATCATACCTGAGAAATTAGGTTCGACTTCACTTTCACCTCTTCTCCTAGTCATTGATGTGGTTTTACAGGTTTTGTTTCACTCTTTGCATTCAAGCTTATTTTATGTGAAATCTTATTTCTGTTAAACACTAACTCATACTATATGTCCATGGAATAGGATGTAATTTGAATTAAAATGATGAATTTGACACTCCATGTGATAGTCACGTGAGTTTATTTAACGGAACACTAAGGGAAGTTTGGATTTGGACCTTAATTACTAACAAGGCTCACCACGAGAGTTTAATTAAAAGTTTTTTTCACCATAAGGGTCACATTGAAAATACCATGTCACCATAGGAACCACAAAAAAAAATTGGCCAATTAAATAAATACTTAGTGGTCCTTGGAAATCAAAGAAGGAACTGTGAAGCTTTTCCTAATGTGAATATATATAGCAGTATAGTTTGAAGAAATCTCCATAAAATTGGATGGTGGAGATTCTAATTTATGAAGGGTGAGCCCTTTTGCTCGGGCATTTCTATATCTGCAATTACTGGGACAATTTTGTCAAATTTCTAGGCTTTGAATTATTGGTGGAAAAGATAAGTGGTTAGGATTTAGGAATGTTCAAAGCTCTAGACTTTCAAAATTTAATTCACTCACACTAGAATTTGAAGATTTCTAGATCGAGAGAATGGACTTCGACATTCATTGGCAACCCCATAAATCTTCAACAAAAAAGTGTGGCTGGAAAGTGAAATGCAGCATTCATGGACATGTGATGTTGAAAAACAAGAACTTAATTCCCAATGGATTTTCAGGTAAAATTTAGTTTTGGGAACCCTAAAAAAATTCATGAAGATGGAGAAGCCCAACTCATATGCATGTGTACTTACAAAAACACAAAAATGTGTACTCTTCTTTTTACTTTTACCTAAGGGAAACAAAACAAAAAAAATCTATTGCAAAAACGAAAATCGTGATAAGTTTTAAGGTTACCTCAATTGGCGAGGAAGTGGGAGATGATGAGTTAAGTATTATGATAAAGTTACGATCATTTTTCTCTACTACACTTCATACACCTAATCATAAATCATAAATGATGACTTTGATAATAAGTTATTGTTCACCCATTGTGTAACTCAATCCGGCTATTATACTAAATACATCAACATGCATCAAATAATAGAAGGATACTAGAAATACGAGCCACATGATGTACTATCGCACATTTTTAAAGTATTATTTATTAATGAGTAATGCTAGAGAAATCACATATTATACCACTCTTATATGGTAAGAAAATGTTGAGGAAACTCCATCAAAAGTGGGACTCCTTATAGACTATCTGACACCTCATATTTTTAGCATAATATTTATAATGTTGGCACGAGAATTAACATTAAACTGTAACGTGACATAGAGCCTATTGACAATTCAACTTTGAGAGAGTCTCCTTGGCGAATTCGATACCAAATTAGGTTGCCCATTATGTGACTTTGCTAAACTTCCATCTCCTTAGTGTAAAAATATCAATGTACTCAAAATAAGAAAAAAAATTCATTAATTAACATGACATGGACATATCGTATCCATGTTTCTAGTAAATTCATTTTTTTTAACAAACGATATTTTATGTACACTAAGGGGCAAAGACTAAACCTCACAATGTGCTAGCAATAATGTGGTTCAAATTCAACTTTGGCAAGAATAGAACCTAAGACCTCTCACTTTTTTATTTTTGATAGAAGTGATATAGTTTCATTACCACAAACAACCAATTATAGACTAATTACAAGGGTGCCAAATGGGTATAAATGCTCTAGCGATCAATTTCTTGATCTGGAGGTAATTAGCACAAAATACAAATAATTTAAAACTCCTATACGGCCACCCCACAAACCACACCACTAGAACGAGGAGTCCCTAGGTAGATATGCCACATAGACGAGATGTGGCATACCAAACACCTAAACCCTCACAAAAGCCATCGCAATCAGCAAGGCTACAAAAATATCATAGCGGCACAATCATCTTCACAAAGCAAAACAGACAAAAGAACAAAAGGACCTAGAGTACAAAACAAGAGAACCAACATGTCTACAGTGGAGAAACAAGTGCAGAATTGGTAGAAGGCATGGGTTGCAGAGGCATGTGTAGAGTTGGCAGGAGGTGTGAAACGCAAGATGTAGTCGAGATGACACCTATAAGGTTGGGGAGGGAGATGATACTCAGTCAAAACTGCCATCATCGTTGAAACACCACCATAACCCATAAACTTGCATAAGACATGATAACACCCCTACCAGAATTTTCGCAGACTGGTGTGCGTCGTAATTATAGTAAGATTAACAATAAACAACATGGATGGCAGAGGTGTAACGACCAGTCCCAAAATTTTACAAATTTCAGAATAACAAGGGTAAATTGGTACTTTCACCTGTGGGAGATATTTGCATATTTGTCATTTATGGCTTGTTTGGTGTGCTAGTGGAGCCTATCCATTTTATTTGGTCTCTCGGTCTCTCTCTCTTCCCTCTCCCCATCACTCTTTTCTCTTATCTTAAACTATTTTTAACTCTTTTATTTCTATCGGTCTCCTTCTCGCATGACCTTCCACCTCCTTCTAAACCTAGACAATTGGGCGATTCCACGGAACTGAAACCAAGTCAAGGTCCTCATCCTTCTCTGTTCCCCCACATCACTCTCTCTTGCCCCCCCTCAACTCTGCAACATCACCATCGCGACAGAGCTGCCTTCTCTAGCGAGTTCCTCGATTTCCCGACTTAAGGTAAGCCTCAGGATGCTTTAGATCCTTTCATATTCGTCATGATGGTTTAACTATAACCTAGATTATGCAACTTAAACGTCGGATTTGCGCAAGAACAAAGATAGTAAGAAACCTAGTTTTCTAGCGAGAACCTGAGCCTTCCAGGTCATTTTCTGGCCAACTCCGGCCACGACACTGCTCCAAATTAGTATGAACCTCTTCTCTTCATTCTAAGTTTCATTTTCATAGCTAAAACATCGAAAATGGTGAAGAAATGAGTTCGAACAGAGCTCTAAAAACCCTTGCCCAGATTTCGGCCGACCCATAGCCTAAAACCGGATCAATCTGACCCCAACCCTTCCGATCCAAAATCGGGTCCAACCTAGCAACCAAGCCTAACCCATTAACCCAAAACCCAAAACCCAACCCGACTCGAATCAAACCCGACCCGACCCAACCCAGATCAGACCCGACCCAGACTCGGACCGGAGGGAATATTTCCTGGAAAAATCCGTTGGGGAATATTCTTACGTTGACTTTTACGAAATTTGCCCCAAACCTCTTTAAGGGTATTTCGATGCCCTGCTTCCAAATCCATGCTTTGTTTTTCCAAATTCAATTTTTTTAGTAGGGTTTTACTTATTTGGTCATTTTATGTGCTTAGGTGCGTTTGTTAGTGGCGACCCCGTCCTCTCTAGTTTGAACGGCTATTCGGCGATGAAGTATCTGTGAGTGGACCCCTTCCAAAATGCATGATTTTATTACTAGAAATGCATACATGAAAAGTATGATTTTATGACAACGTTTTATGAAACATTTATGAGTAAATCGGATTTACGCTTTATGAAATAACATGCTTTATCGAATATGTTTATTGAGATATTTATGAACATGGATTTATGATATGATGTTTGAGCTATTGAGCTCCGATGAGATATATTTTGGAAAGATTATGTTCATGATTTTCTGTGCTTACTTAGTGGATATTCATACTATGTGCCTACATGCGAATGTTATATATATGTCTTTGGGCAGAAGATATATATATGTCTTCGGGCAGGTGATGCAGGGACTTCGGGCATAAGATTTATATATGCCTTCGGGATGGTGATGCAGGGCCTTCGGGTGAAAGATTTATACATGCCTTCGGGCGGGCGATGTAGGGCCTTCGAGCTATTGTGATACCACTACTAAGCACTTTATATATGATATATGTTATATGAAGGTTTTATGGCATGCTAGGGTTTTTTCAGAAAACCTATTACTTATACTATACGAGTTTTCATAAACTGGGGGTTAGTACGTTGAAGAATAATTGTTTTAGTATTACTTATATATAAACTTGGTTCACTCATGTTTTGTTTTGTACCCCCTTTAGGATTTAGAATTGAGGTGTACAATCTCGGCGTCAAGGCACTCCCGCATTGGTATCTTCAAGTCCTCTCGGTGTATGACCTATTCATTTGTTCATACCTTTTTGTAATATTCCTTATACAGTAATTTTGATTAGTTGTATACTTTGAACATGTTCCCACATTTGCATATTCATAATAGTTAAGTTCACGTGTTTTATTTTACGTTCGTTCTTTCTTCATATTTCTACATGCATGTTAATATGACTTCGTCACCCTCGAGTGTCGGCCAGTACATGCCTATCCTAATGTTCAGAGGATATCGTGGTCAGGTGTGTCAAGAGGGCTTGCCAGGCCAAAACCACTGGCGATGCTGCACCACCAAATCCCACCACCACCACACCCAAATAGGGTTGAAACGATATTTCCAAGGGCAAAGCCCTCGAATAGCCCAAATCACTGAGAGAAATTCCAACGATAGATCTGCACGCCAAATGTGGGCACCTAGGAAGCCGTTGCCAGGAACACCCCACATCTAACTCCACCCAGGATACAGAAACATCACAAATCTAAAAAAACGAAAAAACCTCCGAAGGGCATGACTCCATTGCATAAACCCATCGCCATCGACAACTTAACCACATGGCGGGTGCCACCACAACATAGACGAAGAGAGCCACAAAATCGAAAGAGTGCGCCATTGAGGGAGGGTCCGACCCACCAGTCAACCAAACAAACACCAACCTAAGCTCGTAGATCTATCCCTAGATACGGGAGGAATCTTTGTACGACAATAAATCTCGAGAATCAGTCGGAGGACTTCAACAATGTCGAAAAAAATTTGGTTGCCCACAGAAGATTGGGGGAAGAAGGTGATGGGCAACACCAAATACCAGAGAGAAAGTGATAAGGGGGGAGGGGTTGCGGAAGAACAGTGAGGGAAAATGAAAGTCACGAGAGGAGTGGATGGGGGGAGGGTTAAAGTGTTAAGGAGTGAGGAGAGGCTAGGAGAAGGGGATGCTAGAGGAAGACGTGAAGAGAAAAAACACTAGAATGTAGTACGTAACAATGAAAAAAATACTTTAAATCAACAAAATGAAATAAATTTGTGATAAATAGTCAAAGAACGTAGAAGAAAATAGAGAAAGAGAGAGCAAGACAGCTGAGAGCAGCTGACGAGTGGCTTTGTCGGGCGGGCAGCCACGCGTGAAACGCGCACACTCAGCTCTTAACGTATGAGTAAAAGCGGGACCCACATCCGGAGATTAGCTCGCTCGGTAGTCGCACAATTACATCAACAGCACGAGGGGCCGGCACGCGCGACACGCGTGGCTACGACGGTCCGGGACATAAATAAAAGGGGGAAGAGAGGCAGCGAGTGGGACAAAGTGAGAGTCAGATTGAACTGGGATCGATTTTGAAACCCTAAAACAGAAACAAATTGGGGGCAAAATTAAAGGAGCTTCGTAATTGGCCACTCGCTCCTCCCCCTCGCGTGTGCGATCATCTTCCTTCGCAGTTGCGGATCGAAGCTTCCTCCTCCTGGTTCCTCCGTATGTAATACGGGAAGAGGTATTGTAATCTCTCTCTCTCCCCTCTCTCTTTCTCTCTCTCTCTCTCTCTACAATCTACCTCCATCTCTCTACTTGTTACTGAATCAATTCAATGTTATAAATTCTTCTTTTGAGTTTGTTTTCGGTTGAATTTGTTGGTGTGCAATTTGGGATTTGAACTTGGGATTTTTCTTGCATTTGACATTAAATTAATGAAATGGGATTGAAAACTGAGGAGTTGGTATCAAGTAGTTAATTTTTAGTACAAAATTGTGTGCAGAAGTTGGCGCATTTATCTGAGTAATTTTCCAGCGTTTTGAATTCAGCTAAAAAAATTATACGTTTGAGTAGTTGGGAATTCTTTATTTGTTGAAGAGGCTTGGTTTAGTTTGGTTGCAATCCTAAGTGGACATGCACTGTTGCGCATTTTAAAGCTTGAGTAGTATTAGGGCTTGTTTGGTATTGCTGAGCTTTAAATAAAAAATGTTTCCGGTGTGATGTGAGAATATCCTTATTTTTGTTGCTTCACGTTTTTAACTTTTTTTTTTCACCAAAGACTGCGAAAATAAGTTTTTTTTAAGTGTTTACCAAATACCTTTTTGAGCTCAGTTTTTTTTTATACCCACTTTTTATAAAATCACCTTAGTACCAAATCAGTACTTATTAGCATGTAAAGTTTGATTTCCCAATTCCGAGTTATTTCGGTTTTAAAGCTCATGACTTGATGGTCTATACTTATGGGAATTTAATTGCAAGTTTAGAAATTGTACGATGAACCGGGATGTGGAACGGGCATGTGAGTTTGATCGGGTTTCGTTTGGATTGTGTGTGTATCTTGCACTTCAAAATATAGAAAGCCCTCTCTTATCTGCTGCCATGTGTAGCTGAAACTCTTTTATTTGTGTCAGCACACTATCACATATGTGGTAAAAATGAACACTATATTGCTCTTATTTAGACCATTGTAGAATGTTTCTTGACGTTTAGATGGTGGATTTTTTGTTTTCGTTTGAGTTAGTTTGAAATAGATAATTAGCATCGGAATTGGTATTAGATTGTGAAGTTGATATACATGTTTGCCAGTTTTTTTATGTTGATATACATATTTGTGGTCCTAGATGAATTTTTATGTGATAGATAAATGATAGTCCCACTTCTTATCATTTTCAAGTTTTGTTTTGTGGCATTCTGTTGAGTTCAGAACAACACCTTATGCCTCAAAGAAGGTGCCTTACCACCCTGTTCTGGTATGTTAGGTTAAATACTTCACTTTGGCGCTCTAGAATACCTCTGTGAATAGGATATGGTATCAATAAGGTTATGGCAGCTGGACTCTCGAACTACGTAAATACCTGTGTTGAACAGAAAATTCTCACACCTGTAACTGACTACGTGAATCATACACAATTCTGAATATTATTTGTTGGAACTAATAGTTAAAAACATTTTCCCAGGCACAATTGCTCTATCTGTGATAATCACCTAAACCTTTTGAAGCATCATGATTTTAACGTGTGATAGTGGTTCAATTGGCTCTTTCTTTGAAATTTCCAATCATGTATGATTAATGCGTGTTAGTTTATTATTTTTCTTCCAGCCAAAGCTTTATAATAGCATATAAGATATCATGGGAGGTGATACTGCTCCCTTATGTTGGAAGAGGAGGATGTCATCGTTGTATTCACATTGACAAGGCAATACAATCTAGTTGGAGCTGTTTGTTAATAACTTAATAGTGCTTTGAACTTCCAAAATGGTTTGTAACTCTTTTCTTACTTTAATTAGGAAAGTGAATTTTTGTTCGTTATTATTCTTCAGAGTATGTAAGTTTAATCATTATTTGATTTACCGCCAACTGTTGTCTTTTCTTTGTTTCAGATGTTTTCCGATAGCAACCAGTTAAAATTAAATAACCTCACCATGGACATTGATCTACGGCTACCTTCTGGTGAGCATGACAAAGAAGATGAAGAGCCTCATGAAATTGATAACATGTTGGAACATGAAGAAAAAGTGCACAACGGAGATATAGAGAATGGAAACATTGAGGATGTTGGAGATGAAGTACTTGCTGAAGATGGCGGGGATTTGAATTCTCCTACACCAGATATTGTAGTGTTTAAAGAGGATACAAATCTTGAGCCGCTTTTTGGTATGGAGTTTGAATCACATGGGGAAGCATACTCTTTTTATCAGGAGTATGCTCGGTCTATGGGGTTCAACACCGCAATCCAAAACAGCCGCCGTTCAAAGACATCGAGAGAATTTATTGATGCGAAATTTGCTTGTTCTAGATATGGAACCAAGCGCGAGTATGACAAGTCGTATAATAGACCACGTGCCAGACAGAACAAGCAAGACCCAGAAAATCCGACTGGTCGGCGTTCATGTTCAAAGACAGACTGCAAAGCTTCGATGCATGTGAAGAGACGACCAGATGGTAAATGGGTTATACATAATTTTGTGAAGGAGCATAACCACGAGCTTTTACCAGCCCAAGCAGTCAGTGAACAGACAAGAAAAATGTACGCTGCAATGGCTAGACAATTTGCTGAATACAAAAATGTGGTTGGTCTAAAAAGTGATTCCAAAAATCCTTTTGATAAGGGTAGGAATTTGGCATTAGAGGCAGGAGATTTGAAGATTTTGCTCGAGTTTTTCACACAGATGCAGAATATGAATTCCAACTTCTTCTATTCTATAGATCTGGGAGAAGACCAACGGCTGAAGAGTTTGTTTTGGGTTGATGCTAAAAGTAGGCATGACTACATCAATTTCAGTGATATAGTGTCTTTTGATACTACCTACATTAGGAACAAATATAAAATGCCTCTTGCTTTATTTGTTGGAGTGAATCAACACTATCAGTTCGTGCTGCTAGGATGTGCTTTGGTATCAGATGAAAGTACAGCAACTTTTTCTTGGCTAATGCAGACGTGGTTGAAAGCTATGGGTGGACAAGCTCCAAAAGTAATAATCACTGACCATGACAAGTCGATAAAATCAGTTATCGCAGAGGTCTTTCCAAGTGCTTATCATTGTTTTTCTTTGTGGCATATTTTGGGGAAGGTTTCTGAAAATCTTGGCCATGTGATTAAACAGCATGAAAATTTTATGGCGAAATTTGAAAAGTGCATCCACAGGTCATCTACAAATGAAGAGTTTGAAAAAAGATGGTGGAAAATTGTTGAGAAATTTGAACTGAAAGAGGATGAATGGACTCAGTTGTTGTATGAAGATCGAAAACAGTGGGTACCAATGTACATGAGGGAAATTTGTTTGGCTGGGATGTCTGCAGTTCAGCGATCTGAGAGTGTGAACTCCTTTTTTGACAAGTATGTGCATAAGAAGACCACTGTTCAAGAATTCCTGAAACAGTACGAAGCAATTCTACAAGATAGGTATGATGAGGAAGCCAAAGCAGATTATGATACATGGAACAAACCTCCAACATTGAGATCTCCTTCGCCCTTGGAGAAGAGCGTCTCAGGGCTGTACACACATGCAGTATTCAAGAAAATTCAAGGTGAGGTTTTAGGTGCAGTTGCTTGTCACCCTAAACGGGAAAGACAAGATGAGACAAGCATTATTTTCAACGTGGTAGATTTTGAAAAGAATCAAGATTTCATCGTAACATGGAATGAAATGAAGACGGAGGTTTCTTGTGTATGCTGCTTATTTGAATATAAAGGTTATCTTTGTAGACATGCATTGATTGTTCTCCAAATATGTGGCCTATCTGCAATCCCATCACAATATGTATTAAAACGTTGGACAAAAGATGCAAAGAGCCAGCATTTTGTGGGAGAAGAATCCGACATTGTACTATCCAGGGTGCAAAAGTTTAATGATTTATGTCAACGGGCAATGAAAGTGATTGAGGAAGGAACTCTATCTCAGGAGAGTTACAGTGTTGCATGCCGTGCACTAGAAGAAGCTTTTGGAAATTGTGTGAGTGTAAATAATTCTAGTAAGAGTCTGTTAGAAGCTAGCACATCAGTCACTCATGGCCTGCTTTGCATTGAAGATGATAACCAAAATAGAAGTATGAGCAGCAAGACAAACAAGAAAAAGAATCCGACGAAGAAAAGAAAGGTTTGTTCTTGATAGTGACTAAATCGTAATGCTCATTATAGTTTTATAACTTTTATTTAAAGGTAACATTCTAATCAAATTGCAGGTGAACTGTGAGCCGGAGGTTATGACTGTTGGTGCACAAGACGGCTTGCAACAAATGGTTTGTCTTCTTCTATTATTATTTTTAGCTTTTTTGAAAAACAAATATTTGTTTTATATCACTTGCTGATTGGTATCCTAATCTGGGATATGCATATTCATTTTGAAACAATATTATGAATCTGGTCACACAAGATTGGTGTGCCCAGGTAAATCTGGCATCGCATGTGGGAAAATTGTGTAGTAAATTAGTGAACCTCAAGTAAAATTTTCTTACACTTATTTGACCATGGCAATATTTTGTAGGAGAAATTGACCTCAAGAACAGTAACCCTTGATGGCTATTATGGTGCCCAACCGAATGTGCAAGGAATGGTATGAGACCATATCTTGTACTAATAACAAATTGTCTATGATTCTTTTTATTTATTTTATTGTTTTTCATATTTTCATCCTTTGCTTCCTTTTTGTCAGGTACAATTGAATCTAATGGCGCCTACACGGGATAACTACTATGGGAATCAACAGACCATTCAGGGGCTTGTAAGTCATAACTATTAAAATGAGTAGAAAAACACTAGCAATATCGCAAACTACATGAATATAACTTGGACCTGGTTTTAATACTTGCAGGGACAACTGAACTCTATAGCCCCAAGTCATGACGGTTATTACAGTGCTCAGCAAAGCATGCATGGGCTGGTACAGTACCCTATCATGATAACAAAAATATCCAGCCTATGACCATGTTCAAATGGTTGCATTTTATAATTTGCGGCGTTGTGCTTGCAGGGACAGATGGATTTTTTCAGAACTCCAACTGGTTTTGCTTATGGAATTCGGGTTAGTTTGCTAGACATGGTACTAATACTTTCCTAAATTATGCATTTTGCTTAGCTTAGCTTACATTTGTTTTCTCCTCGTGCCAGGATGACCCCAATGTAAGAACCACTCCATTGCATGAGGATGCATCCAGACATGCTTAAGGAACACATTGCCCAGTGTTGGTATCTTGCATGTGAAAAGGTAATTTTCCTTGGATGTCAGCTAAAGTTTTACTTGAAACACAGTGGAACTGATTAAATAATTATTCCGAAGGTAAAGGAGACCCTTTGAAGATAATCTCTATGTAAAGAAAAGTGAAATGTATCATACCTTGCGGACAGAGGGATCACGATGGACAACTTCCTCATTTGGTACCTGTAAAATAAGACGAGAGAGTAGGCTGTTGTTAACTATTTCGTATGCAGTCTTTTCGGAAGTAGGATGGAAATTTGAGAAGGGTTCATATCCTCTGTAAAGGATGTTGTATTATTGTACCTCTGATTGCTTAGCCTCAATAGGGTCAGTTGAGATCAGAGTTAACTTATCTCTAGTCAAAATTCTATTGACTGATTGCTGCTTCTGCTGCGCACAAGCTAACATAGTGAGGATGCAAGCAAAATTGCCAAGTGAAATTTTCATATTTTCACTTTCTATTTTTTGTTTTGGATGAATTGGGTGTGTTGGTGGAGAAATTTTTAGTTGTGACATGAATATGGATGGTACAGCACGTGTTTTCATGCAAGTGGTGGAAATTTTTAATTTTTAAGTAATTAACCTTTTAACACACATAACCCACCATTTATATAGGGACACATGGTGTACCATATCGTGTGACGGTCATCCTGAAAAATCTCTCGTGTTGGTGTTTTACTTTGAAGCTTGCTTCTTTCCAAAAAAGCCTAAAGCAGATTCTCTTTCGGCTTGTGAGCCCATTCCATAAGCATTTCTTTTTACTCCAAAAATCAATGACGGTTGAGAAAGGTTTATTAGTGTCGTTCATGAGATTTAGACTTAGGGCTCTCATGAGTTTGTAAAACTTTATATCTTGGAGAAACACTTGGAAAGTCAATATTAAACTATATTGACCCAAATAGGGGAATAACACCATTTTGACTTGTTTAAGAGCTTATGAACCATACACTTTTTAGTTAAGTTTTAGCTACAAAAGCCAGAAAGCTATTATAAAAGCTTCTTAAAAAAATTATATTGTTGCAACACATGGATAATTAACAAAACTCAATTATCAATGAATAATTAAATACACGTATAAAATGGTATGAATGAATGCAATGCGGAACAATTCTCTACTCTTGTTAATCCGTATAATTAAATCAAACACAGGCATAACGATTTTTCACTGTCACCCGATTGAACTCTGGACTAAAGAACTTGAACTGGAACCCATTTTTGAAATCATCACATGTGAGTAGTGTTTCTTGAAAGCATATGCATTTTAGCGTTACATACCAATAGAAATATAACGTTTTATTTAAAAAATAGTTACCAATGATACGAGCTGTTAGGAATTTCTTTCTCACTTCCTAGATTTAGAAGCTCCTAGAGAGCGTGATTGAAAATGAAAATACTCAAATCCTCTCTAAGTTTTAGCCAGGAGCTCATGGAAAATGCTCCAATTAAAAGATAACAAGTGGGTATTCGAATTTTGTATTCCCATTAATTGGATGTTATAAATGTTATTGTGTAAAACTTAAGGTGGCACTTGCTGCAGCAAACGAATAAATAAACACCGAAGAATTGTCCTACCTCTTGGGCAAGCCAATTTAAGGGCTATCATAACAAGTCATCCATTGTTCTCGAGGCTGTGACGTCTTACAACACTTGTATTGGCATGCATTCTCCGGCATTATTGGATCAAACAACGATATCAATGTTTTTGGTCTTCTTCTCATTCGATGACGTCGTCAATGGATTGAATGGAGGTACAAGATAAATAGTAATAAACATGAGCTAAGTTACTACTTAACCGATGGTATTTACCTTAGTTGGTCTCTATTTTTGAAAAGTTATTCTCATCCAGATAGTGGAAAGAAGAAATTGGATTATCGGGATGAGAATAACTTTTCATAAATGCAGAACTAAATACCATCGGTTAAGTATTAACCTAGCTTGTCTCTATTACTGTTTATCTTGCACTTCCATTCAGGTGCCTATCCGTTGACGCTGTCATCAACAGAGGAGAAGACTCGTTGTTTGATCCACTAACGTTGAATAATGTATGACAAATCCAAATGTCGTAAGATGCCACAACCTCGAGAATGATGGTTGACTTGTAATGACGACCCATAAATTGGCCAACCCAAGCGGTAGGACATTTCTTCGTTGTTTATTTATTCGTTCACTACAGCAAGTGGTGTGTGTAGGTTTGAGTTTCAACCTATGCTTATATAGAGGAGGTGTGTGTAGGTTTGTGTTTCATGTGTTTAATGTACGTTTCATATTGTTTCGTGTGTTATATATTTATACCATGTGCTTCATATGATTTTGTGTGTTTCATGACTTTCCTATACAACTCTTGTTTCTTGTGTTTGATATGCGTTGATAAGGTTTTGCATATTGTTCCACGAGTTACATGAAATGCATATTTTATGGGTCAGCTTAGTATTTTTATTATGGGTAAAAGACTGTTTACTACCTTCATGTTTTGTGGTTTTCAACATTTAGTACATCAAGTTTTTTTCGTCTCAGATTCATACCTAAAGTGTAAATTTTGGGACAGTCTCATACATCCATTAGTCAAACTGTTAAATTTTCCGTTAATTGTGACGTGGCGCCATGACTGGGCACCACGTGTCATCTACGTTTTTTTTTTCTTTTTTTCTTTCTTCTACAATTTTTTTTTCTTCCTCCTTCTCCTTCTTCCTTCCTCCTTCCTCCATCTTCCTTCCTCTTCTTCCTTCCCCTTCTTCCTTCCCCTTCTTCTCCTTCTTCCTTCTTCTTCCTTCTCCTTCTCCTTCTTCTTCTTCTTCCTTCTTCTTCCTTATCCTTCTCCTTCTTCTTCTTCTTCCTCCGAATCTGGGGAAGTTTTTTTTTTTCCTTCTTTCTTCTTCTTCCTCCTTTTTCCTCCTTCTTCTTTCTTCTTCTTCTTCTTCCTCCGACTGCAACCTTTTTTTTCTTTTTTTTTCTTCCTCCTTCTTCCTTCTTCTTCTTCCTCTTCCTTCTTCTTCTTCCTTCTTCTTCTTCCTTCTTCTTATTCTTCCTCAAATCTGGGGAAGATGAAGGTTTTTTTTTTTTTTTGAGGAAGATGAAGAAGAAGGAAGAAGGAAGAAGGAGAAGAAGGGGAAGGAAGAAGGAGGAAGGAATAAGGAGAAGAAGAAGGAGGAAGAAGGAGGAAGAAGGAGGAAGAAGGAGGAAGAAGAAGAAGGATGAAAAAAAGAAGAAGAAGTTGCAGTCGGAGGAAGAAGAAGAAGAAGAAGAAGAAGGAAGAAGAAGGAGGAAGAAGGAGGAAGAAGAAGAAAGAAGAAAGAAGAAAAGAAAAAAAAAACCTTCATCTTCCCCAGATTCGGAGGAAGAAGAAGGAAGAAGAAGAAGAAGGGGAAGGAAGAAGGAGAAGAAGGAGAAGAAGGAGAAAGAAAAAAAAAAAAACCTTCATCTTCCCCAGATTCGGAGGAAGAAGAAGAAGGAAGAAGAAGGAAGAAGGAGAAGAAGGGGAAGGAAGAAGGAGAAGGAGGAAGAAAAAAAAGAAGAAGAAGTTGCAGTCGGAGTAAGAAGAAGAAGAAGAAGAAAGAGGAAGAATGAGGAAGAAGAAGAAAGAAGAAAAAAGAAAAAAAAAATCCCCAGATTCGGAGGAAGAAGAAGAAGGAGAAGTAGAAGGAAGAAGAAGGAAGAAGGAGAAGAAGGGGAAGGAAGAAGGAGGAAGGAAGAAGGAGAAGGAGGAAGAAAAAAAAAAGTTGCAGAAGAAGGAAGAAGAAGGAAGAAGAAGGAAGAAGAAGAAAAAAGAAAAAAGAAAAAAAAACGTGGATGACATGTAGCACCCAATCATGGCACCACGTCACAATTAACGACAGATTTAACAGTTTGACTAACGAATGTATGAGACTGTCCCAAAATTTACACTTTAGGTATGAATCTGAGACGAAAAAAACTTGATGTACTAAATGTTGAAAACCACAAAACATGATGGTAGTAAACAGTCTTTTATCCTTTCATTATTTATCAGAATCTAAATATTTTTAGGTTAAAATGTTCACATAAATAAATTAGGATAACTTTTTGACCGTTCAATAGAAAAAGAGTCATTGGGCTCGTTTTGGGTGGCCGACAACGATGTCAGCGTGAGCCCCACCCGCTGTTAGTGTTTCTGCACGTTGTGCACGTCTGTCCTATGAGCTCTCCAATTTTGTGGTCGCGTCCACGTGCGTTTCAACCTAGGCCAAAATCTTGGCTGGCCGGTATTTGCTCCAAAAACTATTTCACTCAAAACTTATTTTAGGTCCAATTGTTTTACAAGGTTTGGGGAGAGGTTTATCTTTAACTGAACTATTGGAGTTGGTCTGACGAGTTTATGTTTAACTGAAGCATTACAATAATTTGGTAGAATTTAAACTACGTGAGTACCAAGTAACATACTTATGATAAATCATCTATTTATTCCATATATTTGGATGACTAAACGATTTCGGATTTAAATGATTTTTTATAGACATGATCTTCAAATGAAAATAAAAAAATTGAACGGTTTTGATTATATAATTTATAGGGTAAATTACACAAAATTACCTCAACTATGGGTCGAACGACACTATCATACCACATCTTTTAAAAATGACTATGTCATAGCTCATCTTACAAATTTGTTCTAATGTCAGACCTCTGTCAGTTTTTCTGTTAATTTCTCTGTTAAATACTGATGTGACTAGAGGTGGGGCCCACTCACTAATCCAACTGGATTAAAAATAATTAAATATTAAAAAATTAAAAATTAAATTATTTTTTTATATAAAATTGTGGAATCCACCTCTACAAACCCTTCCCCACCCGTCCCCCAAACCTTCCTCCACCATCCTCTCTTTCTGGGCAACCTGCAATCTATCTCCCCCAACCTTCCTTCACCACCAAAACCAGAACCCACTTCCCCACCGCCACCCTCACCTGCTAATCACCCTCTTCGATGCTAAGAAGGCCGACGATGGCTTCACCCGCAGCTCCTTGAGCTGGTCCCTGTTCATGTGCAATACCCTACCCATCTGCATCCTTCAGAACCAAGCTGATCCTTGTTCATATGCAGCATCGTCCGCCTCGGCGGAGTTGTTGGTGGCGCACAACCCATTGGACCCGGTTACCGGACAGAGCGATGCTTTGGTGGGTCCTTGGTGGATGACTGAGGAGGCACCGAGGATGACACATTTGTCTAAGGTAGAGCTGAAATCGGCCCTCGACCTAAGCAGAATTTTGTAGTCGATGCCAAGCTCGCCGTTAGGAAGCTCGATCCGGCGAGTGGTGGGTGACACCAAATTGGTCGAGACTTCGCCGATCTTGTTGAAAATGAAGGAGGAGGGAGTCGGGAAGGCGATCGTAGTGGTCGTTGTCGATGGAGGAGTAGGATTCCGAGAAGATTGAAGGTTGCAGGTTGTACGGGAAGATTGAAGGTTGCAGGTTGTAGAGAGGGATTTTAGAGAGGGGATGAGAGGAGAAATTATGGTAGGAGGAGAAATATCCACATGGGTTAGGCTTGTAGGGATTTTAGAGAGAGAGTGGGGGATGGGGGAAGAAATTGCAGATTACAGGTTGCCCAGAGAGAGAGGAGAAAGAGAGAGAGAGGAGAGAAAGCGTAGTGGAGGAAGGTTGGATGGATGGGTGGGGAAGGGTTTGTAAAGGTGGATCTCACAATTTTATATGAAAAATAATTTTAATTTTTTAATATTTAATTATTTTTTAATCCAGTTGGATTAGTGAGTGGGCCCCGCCTCTAGCCACGTTAACATTTAAAAGATAAATTAATAGAAAAACTGACGGAGGTCCGACATTAGAACAAATTCGTGAGATGAGGTATGATATTGTCATTTTTTAAATTGAGGTATGATAGTGTCATTCGACCTATAATTGAGATAGTTTTGTGTAATTTATAGTGTTATTCGCCTACCAATTTTTACTTTTCACACACCCTTCTTAATATTTGACCATTGAATCGAATTAATTGAAAAGATCAATAGTAAAAATTTAACAAAAATGTATGAGAGATAAAAATGAATTGGTCAATAACATTATCCATCGAAAGTTTTGGAGGCTAAATTATACCCGATTACCCGTGCACTTGAACCCGGCCTACTACCAGACTTGAAAGTTGAACCCCTCTCTCCGAGTCCGAGCGTGGTGGTAGAGTGAATACTGACTTGCGCAGGTGCAAGCACTTCCCTCTTCGTTTACGTGAGCTTGATTTCTCGTCATTCTGCTTGGACTCACGACCTGTTTGGTTCCTGGGAAAATTGAGTAAAACAGAAAGAAAAAGCTCAAGTCTTGCAATTTCTCATAATTGAGTGGAGATGTTTTAGTTGCTGCTGCTGAGTTCCCAAAACAAATGGGTAATCACCAATTTCCTTCCTCTTTTTTCACTTTTCTTTTTTCAGCTTATTTTTCTTCTTGCATCCTACAAGATTAGTTAGCAAAGAGAACATTTCACTTTGAAATTTTTGAAATTTGTATAATTTTTTTTTACAATTTTTCGTATTTATTCTTAATTTTGAAGCTTTTATTATTGATTTTTTGGTATCAGGTAATTCAGTGAAATGAGCTTTTGTGTTGTGTAAGCTTTGTCTGATTCTATGGAGATAGATCTTGAACTGCCCTCATGTTAGCAGGACAAGTTAGACATTAGGGCAGATAAGGATGTTAACATTGTAGATGTCACTGATGAGATAAATGTTGAGGAGGAGCGTGTTAGTTACCCGATAATGAGTGATCGTGTTAAGGAAGTTGATGGATTGAATGCAGAACAAGGTATTGGGTCGGATAAAGATGTTGACATTGTAGATATTTCCTATGACGTAAATGTTGAGGAGGAGCATGTTGGTTCTCCACCAACAAGCTATCATGTTAAGGAAGTTGATGGGTTGAATGCAGAACAAAGTGTAGGGTTGGATAAAGATGTTGACATTTTAGATGTTGCGGATGAGATAAATGTTGTGGAGGAGAGTGTTAGTGCTCTGACAACGAGTGAACATGTTAGGGGAGCTGATGGGTTGAGTGCAGAAGAAAGTGTTAGGTCAGGTAAACATGTTAATGGTGTAGATGTCCCATATGAGATAAATGTTGAGGCGAATGTTAGTTCTCCGACAACGAATGATCATGTTAAGGAAGTTTATGGGTTGAATGCAGAACAACGTGTTGGGTCAGATAGAGATGTTGACATTGTAGATGTCAATGATGAGATAAATGTTGATGAGGAGCATGTTAGTTCTCTGACGAGTGACTGTGTTAAGGAAGAGGATGGATTCAATGCAGACCAAAGTTTTGGGTCAGATAAAGATGTTGACATTGTAGATATCACAGATGAGGTAAATGTTGAGGAGGAGCATGTTACTTCTCCGATAACAAGTGATCATGTTATGGAAGTTGATGGGTTGAATGCAGAACAAAGTGTTTTTAGTTTGAATGATCAAAATGATCTGAACAATGTCGGGGTAGATTCCCTTGATAAGGGGAAGGGGGTAGTTGAGGAGCCCGAAAATGGTTTGGAGTTTGAGTCTAAGGAAGAAGCTTACTCTTACTACAGGGAGTATGCCCGGTCTGTGGGATTTGGCATCACAATTAAAGCCAGTCGGCGCTCAAAAAAATCTGGAAAGTTCATTGACATAAAAATTGCATGCTCTAGATTTGGAAGCAAGCGTGAGTTGGGAACAACTGTCAATCCAAGAACATGCATCACAAAGACGGACTGCAAAGCTAGCTTGCATATAAAGAGGAAAGAGAGTGAAAAATGGGTAGTACATAGTTTTGTAAAGGAGCACAACCATGAGATTTGCCCAGATGATTTCATTTATGCTATCAGCGGAAGGAACAAGAAACCTGCTATCGTTGTTCCTCAGAAGACGGGTCTGCAGTTGGCTTTAGATGAGGAAGATGTAAGAGTAATGTTTGAACATTTTATGTCTATGCAGGATGAGGATCCCAACTTCTTCTATGCAATAGATTTTGACCATGAGAAACGATTGAGTAGTGTGTTTTGGGTTGATTCAAAATGTAAGCGTGATTATAGCAGTTTCTGCGACGCAGTCTTCTTTGACACTTACTATGTTAGAAACAATTATAAAATTCCTTTTGTTCCTATTGTTGGAGTTAATCATCACTTTCAGTACATTTTGCTTGGATGTGCATTGATTGGAGAAGAGACTACATCGGCTTTCGTTTGGTTAATGCGGACGTGGCTTAAAGCAGTGGGTGGCCAAGCTCCAGTAGTGGTTATCACCGATCAAGACAAATTCCTGAAAGAAGCTGTAGAAGATGTGTTTACTGATGCACGCCATTGTTTTTGCTTATGGCATGTATTGACCAGGATTCCTGGAAATTTGGGTTCCATAAATGAGAAAGAAACATTTATCGAAAAATTCAGCAAATGCATTTACCGGTCTTGGACAGTTGAGCAATTTGAAAAGGAATGGTCGAAACTGGTTGATAGATTTGAACTAAGAGAAAATGAGTGGGTTCATTCATTGTATGAAGATCGTAAAAAGTGGGCCCCAACTTATATGCAGGATTCGTTTTTAGCTGGAATGTCAACAAGGGAGCGATCTGGAAGTATAACTTCATTCTTTGATAGGTACATTTCTCAAGAAGCTACATTTAAGGATTTTATTGAGCAGTACAAAGCATTTTGTAAAGATAGTTATGACATGGAAGCTGGCGCTTCTCTCAAAACACAGGATAAACAACCTGGATTAAGATCCTTCTCGCCTTTTGAGAAACAAATGTCAACTATCTATACTGATGCTGTATTTAAAAAATTTGAGGACGAGGTTTTTGGACTAGCTTCTTGTCATTTGAAGAAAGAAGGTGAAAATGAAGCATCTGTAATCTTCCGGGTCACAGATTTGGAAGAACGCCAGAATTTCATCGTGTCTTGGAATGAAGCAGACCAAAAAGTATGTTGTTTATGTCATTCATTTGAATGCAGAGGTTTTCTCTGTAGGCATGCAATTCTGGTCCTCCAGGTGTCTGGTGTTTACACAATCCCATCCCATTATATTTTGAAGCGTTGGACTAAAGATGCAAAAGTTAGGCATACTGTTAGCGATGGATCGAAGAGGCTTAACTGCAGGGTGCAGCATTTCAATGATCTATGTAAATTAGCTGTTAAGTTGGGTGAAGAGGGGTCTTTATCTCCGGACGCTTACCACATTGCACTTCAGGCATTAGAAACAGTTATGAAACATTGTGTCGATGTGAATAATTCTGTAAGAAGTGTTTTGGAACCCGTGTCAGCTAATCATGGTTTTATTGACGTTGAACTAGTGGATCCCAGCTGCAGTGTAGCCAAGTTGTCGAAGAAAAAGAAAACATACAAAAAAAGAAAGGTTAGTTAAGGCTTGATCTTTGGCATGTAGATCTTGCTACAACTTGTTTTGGGTCATCCTAATTGATGTGTGCCTAAAGTCGATTTTACATGTACTGTAGGTGCAAACTGAACTGGATGGCACTGCTATCAGGTTGCAAGACAGCTGCCAGCAGATGGTTTGTCTCACGATCTTTTTTGTTCCAAAATTCTCTCGCTCATCGATTCTTTGTTTTCAACTTTAATATATTATGATTCACCTCACTATGGTTTTTAAATGTAGGAACTGATGAAGTCCAGAGCACATAAGCTTGATAATTGTTACGTCCCTCAGCAAGAATCTGAACGGGTAATATGAAACAGCTATGTTATCCCAGAATAATGCAATAAGAGTTTGTTGGTATGTAACCATACAGTATTTTCATCCAGTGGTTAAGTTATATCCAGGGTTGTTTTATACTTATATCAGGGACAGTTGAACTCAATTTCTCCTATCCATGAGGGTTGTTACGACAACCAACGGGTCACCCAGGTACGACCCAAACCTTTATTTATTCTGACCTTGATTTTTCATATTGATTCAGGAATCAGAATGCAAACATTTTCTTTCGATTTCATTCAGGGACAGGTTCATTCGTTACCAACACATACTCGTCACTTAGGGACCCAACAGAGCCTGCAAGGAATGGTACTGGATTTTTCGTACATGGCATTCTATCAAGCAGTACGATTCATCAAATCCAAATACTAAAATTGCAGTGTGTTGTTTTTGGCTTTTTTTAGTTGCAGCTACAACCTAGTCCCAGAGCACCGATTGTGCATGGCTGTTATGAGATTCGGGGCAATCCCGAAGATATGGTGGGCATTTGAATAGCCTATTTGGACTTCTGTTTCCTATTTGACATTGGATTTTCTTTGCACGAACTTAATGCTCTTTGGCTGCAGGAACAGTCTGTAGGCTCCTCGCGCAAGCATCGACGTGATAAGCACCCACCAAAATAGCTGAGAGACAATGCCCATCCATTGAGATGAAGAGACTATCGTCCAGTTGTAAATTCAGCCTCATGCCTGTAAACGAGGATTGAAAATGATGAACTCATATATCCACGTTTTTTCGGTACGTAGTGATAAACCAAATCCCATTCCATCTCCGTTTGCTAATGCACAATCACAATCCAATTCCAACATGGAATCCTCAGACGACATGCCTACTCCAGAACAAGTTTCATCCTGACTTAACTTCTATTTAGTCCACGTTCTGTTTAGATTGTAATCCTAGTTCTACGTGTGTTTGTATACTACTCCTATAAATATCAATGAACATCGCTCACTCTGATTAAGAGTTGAGATTCTGCAAATCATATTTACCATCTTTCACATAGATGTTTTCGTTTTGTTCTTTTACTGAACAGTTGTACAAAACGATGTCGGAAGAAACAACATAAGTTGAATTTTATGTCATGCACTCTTCAACTGCGTTTCTCTTCTCAACGAGTTCTATTTTAAGACTCGATAGGTATGATGAATCTTTTATACGAGGCTACGCCATCTCTTCATGGTTAACCTTTTCATTTCACCGCGTTGCAGTGGTCTAGACAAAGGGTGATTGGCTATCAGTCCTATGGTTAGTCGCCCACGCGCTCATGTGAAGTCTGACCGTTGAAGTATGTGGAACCCACGATGCATCAATGGCGATCGAGGATTGCTCAGCACACGGACGGCTGACCTTGGGAAGAGTATACATTCATATAAGTAAAATATGTCATATCATTTCTCCTGCAAATTTTGTTTGAAGTTATGATACATTATGCAACAATCTTCCGCTTTCATTGCTAACAAAATTATTGTGTATGGCAATAGAAGACGAATGCTTTTCCGTCAAAAATATGCCGAGCTTGTAGCGCTGCACAATCATCATCAGTGTTCCTTTCGTGTATTGTTGTTCGGTATGTCAGTTTATATCGGACCTCTTCTGTAACTTGCACCACAATCCGTTCTTTGTGTGGAGTGTTGCCCCTGTAACTTGTTCCACTGAATCTGGGGATCCTTTTAGCTCGACGGTGAACTTCTGCAACAGCATAGCCAGTGCCACAGTTGACTCCATTAGAGCAAACTGGTCTCCGACGCATTTTCTTGGCCCTCCACCGAAAGGTAAGAAGGCGAAATCTGCTATAATCTGATAGTTGCAATCATAAAATCATTACATGATAGATATCATCAATGATGTAGGTGCAAAAGTGGCAGTGACTAGTAATAATAACCTCATTCGGGTACAACGCTCCAGGGCTTCGAGAAGGGTCAAAACCAGCCCATCCTTCAACGTGACTCTTCTTTTCGACTAAAAACCTCTCCGGTTCAAACTCATTAGGATTGTCCCAAAAGTATGGAGATCGATGGAGATTATATACCTGAATGGACAATGGTTTTGGAAGTTCAAAGCAAATAGCTTAGTGTTACAGCTGAGGTCCGGGCTTAGTGTTACCTTAACAAACCTTTTTACAGAACTTCATCAAGAAACAAGGAAACTTAACTTCTTATACTCACAGAAATGAAGAGATCAGTCCCAGCGGGAACCGCATAACCATCTTTTGCACCGTTGTATCCTCCTGCACGATGGACATAAGTCCGTCTTAACCTAGATATGACTTTGATAAAAAGAACAAAATGTTGTTGCCGTTCAGGGTCTTTTCTTCTGTCCTAATACCTGGTAGCTTATCTGGTTTGAGAGAACGTCTAATAAGCAAGGGGGGTTGGGGAAACAAACGAAGAGACTCTACCGCGATAAGTCTGGTGTACCTAAAAGAAGAAAAACCATATACTGAATCAATCATTCGGGTGAAAAAGAGCCAAGTTCAAGTAATCATCGTAATGTCTTAGGAGGAACGGACTCCAATTTTTTTATTGATTCGTAAGTTGGTCCGTCCTGTCCAAGCACTGAATCAATCTCTTCTTGCGCTTTCTTCATCTTGGACGGGTTCTGCAAGAAAGCAAATTAATTGCGCCTGTATCATCATCACCGGTTCTGCATAACTTTATTCTGAAACCTAACATGGCTGCAACATTCAAATTAGAAACGAATACTTGTGCAAGGAAGAAAACAGCCCACGTAAGCACAGCAGCCGTCGTTTCATGGCCAGCAATAAGCATTGTCATCAAATCATCCCTCAACTGTTGAAATCCACAGGTACCGTTTATTAGAATTATACGCAAATACTCTAAACGTTGTTGAATTATACGCAAAGTAAATTATTTTGGTCAGATTTGCTGTACCTAAAAGCATTGAAGTTTTTCAAGTATTTACCTGACGATCATCAACATCTGTTCCACGCATATCAACTAAGAAACGCAATAGGCTTGCATCCTGCAAACTTTATAGTTACAATGCCAGAATTTTAACGCTTCCGCAAAGCTCCTAATTGCAATCATTTATCTTTAGAGTTCACAAGCAAATGTGGATTGAATTATTTTTTGAGTTGGAGTTTTCCCCACCTTCAGATTTAAGTAATCCCTTTGTTGCAGTTTTTCAACATCTGTTTCCTGTCACAGAATATAATCAAAATACGGTTCTTAATACTCGAATTTTTTGTTTAACATCTGTTTCCAATAATGCTACAAACATCAATAATTTCATTCAGCTCAAGTTTCATCTAACCTCTCTGGTCTCTTTCGCATTTCTGATGAGTACATCAAGACAGTCATTTATAACCTTCAGATCACCGTAGAACTTCCGTTGCCTGGGCACTATCCACTTTGCCAGTGGAAATTTCCAATATGGGATATAAAAGGTGGACCGATGTTCAGCTTCAAAAAGAGTGCCATACACTGCCTGTAATATATTTGCACAAAAATCTGAACATGAATTCTCAGCAGCAAGTACATTAACATGAATTCTAAATCAATATCAATAATAGTTGAAGGGGAACAAGGTCATATCGTATACTAAAAAAAAGTAACGGTTCGCAATGATTAGTGAATTGTAAGATTATGTTCACTCCAGAAATTATAAGAAAACCCAATGTATGTTAAACAGAATACAAAAAATGCATGTACAACTGATATGAAAACCCAATGTTCTTCTGAAAAAGGAGATCAAGATGAGATGCATCAAATGCCCGATACAACATTACGGAATCTTTAGAATGTGAGCTCATTTTGCCAAACCTTAATTACAGGAGATTCTTTGGTAACAGAACCAAAGTCGTAGTTGAAGACACCAAGCCCGATAATATCAAGAGCCAAACTCGAAAACTCTGCTTCAAGATCCAACTCTATTGCCTTGCCACCACGCAAGCTCTCTCTTTCAAGTAGCTTCTCAAATTTTACTATTGTTCTTTCTGAACAATTTCTGAATGTCTTGACCATAGCTTCCAAGTATAAAGAATGGAACGCCGGAGCAATAACTGCAAAAACAGATTATGGCTGGTAAATCCCTATACTATGGATCACTATCAGTTACAAACTTACAATATGGACCCCATATTCTTTTCCCCAACCTGAGGTGAAAACTCTTAATATTAACTGTTACTGCTCACCTCTTCTCCTCTGCTTCCAAGTGTCAAGGTCAGCGGGTATAAGTCCCTTGCCCATAATTGGTTCTAGAATATCAGCCAGAACTCCCTATGTGCAAGTGTGCAAGCAATTGGAAAGAACAGATTAGAATAAGTAAAAATTATTTGACTCAAAACAGCTTATAAATGAAATATATACATTTGCACATCTTATATAAACGACTGAGATGACAAAAAGGGAATTCGAAAATAACTCAAGATTATATACCGAACGGCAAAAAGGTTAACCATGTTAGCAAATTACGCGGGAATGATGAGTTTACTTGTAAAGGAACATGATACACTAACAATGATGGCATTACAAACATGGAAAATGAAGAGAGAACCAACAATTCAAATTCTTGCAATACAAGGGGAGTCCAGAATCCAGAGCACATTAGGTAGTACCTTATCATAACTAAATGCATTTTCTCGAAGAATATGCCTCGCAACAATTGGATCTGATACAACAACAAAAGCTTTTGGTCCAAATGCAAGCTTGTACACAGAGCCATGCTGCCAAGACAAACAAAATTTGTAAAACGGAAAAACATTCAATGAAAAATGGAACTCAGAAAGCCAATGTAACAGAGTCCCCAGTCCCCGCAGCTGCGAAACTGTGATTTCTATCTGTATATACCATCAAATTTTAAAGGGAGTTTTAATGAAACACTCTCGATACTGTTCACTTTTAACGAAAAATCACATTTTTACCTTTCCTGATACTATTCACTACACCTTTATTTGTCATTTTTCATTAAAAACTAAAGTTCTTTTTGAACTTTTCGTTAGTTTTCCTAATTTTAAATCTAAACAAGCAAATGAACAATTGATGACAGGGTAAACAATTCAAATAAAGCAGATGCATACCTCTATAAACCAATCATACAGTGAAAAGAAGAGAGGCCGATCAAACAAATCGGTGACTGCACCTTCAGCTGTGGGCATGGACCCAATTTTCCCACCACTTAAAAAATTGGTAAGGAGGTTGCTTGCATTGTCCAGTAAATTTCTCTTCGTTTTTGGTTCCTCGGTACTGGTCGATTGGCACCTACATTTACCAAATTCACATCATATTATCTAATTTTAGAGTGAATTGAAAGTTCAAATCCACATCATATCCTCTCTCAAGAAACTAAAGCATTCAACTTTAAAAGAAACATCATCTTATCTAAGAAACCCAGAAGCTAAAAAATGTTTATCTGATAAAATGATTACATGGGTATCTTTTAATTGCTGCTTTCTCCATTCTCCACCAAGTTTTAGTCACCCAACTGACCAAAAGTGCAAAAAATCAAAGGAAAAAAAAACTCAGTAAAACAGTAAAAGAAAGAGAGATACCTGAGAGGACAGTGCCTGGGCTTGGAATTGAGAAGATGGGAGGTAGTTGAAGAGTGAAAGTAACCCAATTCATCTCTCCGGAAGTTGAGATTAATGAGAGTTGGAGGAGAAGGATGCAACAGAGAAGAACCAGCCATGGCCGTTAGGCAAATAGTTAGGTAGCAGTTCTTCAGTTGGAGAAGTGGGATTTAGCTGGGGATATTAGTACTTGGGATATTTTTGTACATACACAACACTGAAATGTAGGAAGCATGACATGATTTGAGAAGCGGAGGTGTACGGATTTAGTAAAAAATGGAAGTTGTGGGTGCTTTGGGTGGTTGGTTTTTGTCACTCTCTCTTGCCTGCCCACTAAAATCAGGGAAGGACTTTTATCCAGAGCCTGACCAAACAAAGTGTACAAAATTCATGAGTCAACAAATAAATGGTTGTCTGCTTCTTGTCCACTTTCTCCATGCTTAGGTGGAGATAAGTTTTGATAAAACTGCCTAATTTCTTCGACTCTTAGAGATCGAATGAGATCAAAATAAAAGAAAATTATATCTCATAATGACAATTAGGACATTGAGCACTCTGCACATATTCTTA